CATTCATAATGCTAGAGGATTCAGCTAAAATTAACACCCTTGAAGGTGAGGGTTGTAACTCTCGAGGACAAATTCAACATAGACAGGACTAGGCACAGAGATACAACACAAGGAGTAAAATCCACTCATAATGCAAGAGGATTCAGATAAAACTAACTTGTGTTTGAACGTGAGGTTGTAACTCTTCAGGACAAATTCAATGAAATTTTTTATCCCTTGAACAGGAACAGTAAGACTAGGTGAATACTACAGTATTTACAAATAATATATCTGGTCCTAGGTATCTAATAGGTTATGCATAGTAAAAATATACAAAGTAACTAGACAATGTACTCTGTCATAGTACACATATGAAGAACTAGAAAGTAGACTAAGATGACAAAATATTGCCAATATAGTACCAAATCTTGGTGTTTAGCTTCTTATAGTTATGAAGTCTAGGTTTAGAATAACTCCCATTATGCAATAGCTACATTAATAACTCCATTTATGCAATAACTATATTGCATATAGTCCTCCTTGCATCAAGAATCAGAGCAGTAACAGGAATAAAATCATTTGCTGAAGCCAAACAGTTTTCATGCCCCCCCTTCCTACCCCCACCTGGGAAGGGTAGAAACAGCAAGGCCTCAGGAGTTGTTAACCAATTTGCTAGAGTGGAGAGAGAATCAAAACTCCAAAGAGTATCATTTTTTTAAAGGATGTGAGAGGACATAACTATGAGGACAAAGGCATCAGTCTTGTGATAACATCAAAGGAAAAGTTAGAAGCAACAGAATTCTGAACTGATGAGGACACAAGACAACCCATGTCTCATGAGGGAGCTGAACTGCCAGCAGTCTATCAGTAGTCTATCATTTTACTCATCGCTGCAACTACTTGCATTGCAGTTTTCTTTTTTCAGATTTATATTCTTAGAAGGCCTTAGACATTATCAACTAACATATTTAAACATATCAACTGAGCTCATGTCATAATAGAAGTACCTGAAGAAACTAGAGAACAGCATATTATCAACTTGTCATAAATCTGAATTTTTTTGCTAATCTGAAGAAAGCTAAAGATTCCATATTCTCACAGAAGGTATTTATATTATTTTGCATAATTTCTCTTAGAGTTAAACTCAGCATTTATGTCCATTATGCAAAATGTCTTCTTGTGACACACTGAACATTAGTATTAACTATTATTTGGCAAAAGATAACACATCCACAGGACAATTACCTAATTGAGCCTCTGTACAAAAACCATAAAAATAAAAGGTAAGGATGACAGTACTGTAAAAAGGCTGAGATACTCCAAATGTCAGGATTTTGCTTGTCCTAGCCTAATGAAGGTTAAAGTTGGCGTCTCCATGGACACAGGATAGCATTAGAATGTTATTGCGCATTAGAATCACCTGTGTTGACAGCCTAAATGAGAAAAACTTGTGCTTGCTCCAGCAGCACATTTTTTTTTTTTTAAGACAAGAGATGACCACAGGCGCTGTGTAAGGATGAGAAAACTGCAAACAAGCCAAAACTGTCTAGCCCTGGAGCTCCAGACCTCAGTAACCCCTTCTAGCCCACTGCCTCCTGTGCTCCTAACTTGTCTCCCTTGAATGAGGGAACAGATTGCTTCAGAGACTTTCTCTATATTCTATTCTGAACTATAGCTACCATTTGTAACTTTAAAAGTTATAATTGTACAACTTGTTTCCTAAGTGATTTTTACAGTTGATGGTATGAACCTTCAATGTCTAAATTTCCTAGTTTAAATGTTTGAAACATGTACAATGTACATAAGCAAACACACACACACACAAAATTTCTCCTGAAAAACTTACTTTTACAAAGTAAAAAAAAAACAACTAGCCGAGCGCCGGTGGCTCACGTCTGTAATCCTAGCTAATCAGGAGGCTGAGATCTGAGGATCGCGGTTCAAAGCCAGCCCGGGCAGGAAAGTCTGTGAGACTCTTATCTCCAGTAAAAACCACTAGAAACCAGAAGTGGTGCTGTGGCTCAAGTGGTAGAACGCTGGCCTTGAGCTGAAGAGCTGAGGGACAGCGCACAGGCCCAGAGTTCAGGCCCCACGACCGGACCAAAAAAGAAAGAAAAACAACTATTATTGGCCACTTATGACAAGCAGGATCTATGTTAAGTGCTAAAGATATGAGTAGTCCTTACTCTCAAGTAGTTAATAGCCTAGTAGAGAACACAATTAAACCAACAATTAGGTGGCCTGATTAGGACTCTGAAAAAGAAGTGGACAAGTATCTGTGTATGTAGGGGAAGAATCTACTTGAATGAGGTTCCTCGATGAACACCAATAGGAAACACCGACAGTACCACGAAGACTTAGCAGAGCCCAAAATAAATGAGAAGTGGAAAAAAAAGGAAATTGTGTGAAATCACGCAGCCATTTGCTATCTAATAACCGTTCTAATGGACACGGACCTGACCCAGCAGACCACTCTTGAATTACTACTTTAACACCGAAACTGCCTTCACAACAGGCAGTTAGTAGGAGAGTGCCGCCGCTCTCAGACCCTCCGGGGGCCGGCTGACAGGCCAGGCGCGGGCTGGGTGCTGCCCGGTGAGGAAAAAGCCAACGCCCGGACCTGTGCCCCGCCTAAGAGGTTACACCTGAGAGAGCGGCGCGGGGGGGGTCGGGGGCGCGGGGGGCCGGGGCGCGGGGGGCCGGGGCGCGGGGGGGTCGGGGGCGCGGGGGGGCCGGGGGCGCGGGGGGGCCGGGGGCGCGGGGGGTCGGGGCGCGGGGGGTCGGGGCGCGGGGGTGTCGGGGGCGCGGGGGGCCGGGGGCGCGGGGGGGGCCGGGGGCGCGGGGGGTCGGGGCGCGGGGGGTCGGGGCGCGGGGGGCCGGGGGCGCGGGGGGGCCGGGGGCGCGGGGGGCCGGGGCGCGGGGGGGGGCCGGGGGCGCGGGGGGGCCGGGGCGCGGGGGGGGTCGGGGGCGCGGGGGGGGTCGGGGGCGCGGGGGGCCGGGGGCGCGGGGGGTCGGGGCGCGGGGGGCCGGGGGCGCGGGGGTGTCGGGGGCGCGGGGGGCCGGGGGCGCGGGGGGGCCGGGGGCGCGGGGGGGTCGGGGCGCGGGGGGTCGGGGCGCGGGGGTGTCGGGGGGCGCGGGGGGCCGGGGGCGCGGGGGGGCCGGGGGCGCGGGGGGGCCGGGGCGCGGGGGGGGCCGGGGGCGCGGGGGGCCGGGGCGCGGGGGGGTCGGGGGCGCGGGGGGGCCGGGGGCGCGGGGGGGGCCGGGGGCGCGGGGGGTCGGGGCGCGGGGGGTCGGGGCGCGGGGGTGTCGGGGGCGCGGGGGGCCGGGGGCGCGGGGGGGGCCGGGGGCGCGGGGGGTCGGGGCGCGGGGGGGTCGGGGCGCGGGGGGTGTCGGGGGCGCGGGGGGCCGGGGGCGCGGGGGGGCCGGGGGCGCGGGGGGCCGGGGCGCGGGGGGGGCCGGGGGCGCGGGGGGCCGGGGCGCGGGGGGGGTCGGGGGCGCGGGGGGCCGGGGGCGCGGGGGGGCCGGGGGCGCGGGGGGCCGGGGCGCGGGGGGGTCGGGGGCGCGGGGGGGTCGGGGGCGCGGGGGGGGCCGGGGGCGCGGGGGGTCGGGGCGCGGGGGTGTCGGGGGCGCGGGGGGCCGGGGGCGCGGGGGGGGCCGGGGGCGCGGGGGGGTCGGGGCGCGGGGGGGCCGGGGCGCGGGGGTGTCGGGGGCGCGGGGGGTCGGGGCGCGGGGGGTCGGAGAGGTGGGGACACGGGGGGTCGGGGCACGGGGGGTCGGGGCGCAGGGGGTGGGGACACGGGGGCTCGGGGCGCGGGGGGTCGGGGCTCAGGAGGCCGGGGGCGCGGGGGGGTCGGGGCTCAGGAGGCCGGGGGCGCGGGGGGTCGGAGAGGTGGGGACACGGGGGGTCGGGGCACGGGGGGTCGGGGCGCAGGGGGTGGGGACACGGGGGCTCGGGGCGCGGGGGGTCGGGGCTCAGGAGGCCGGGGGCGCGGGGGGGTCGGGGCGCGGGGGGGCCGGGGGCGCGGGGGGTCGGAGAGGTGGGGACACGGGGGGTCGGGGCACGGGGGGGTCGGGGCGCGGGGGGCACGGGGGGGTCGGAGAGGTGGGGACACGGGGGGTCGGGGCGCGGGGGGCGCGGGGGGTCGGGGCGCAGGGTAGGGGAGGCGGCGCCAGAACAGGTGAGCTGGCATCACGGGAACCGCGGCCTCGGGGCCCGTCTGTCCCCGTCCCCCGCCCCAGTGCCTCCGGGTCGCCCCCGGCCCCCAAGTCCTCCGGGTCGCCCCGTCCCCTCAGGTCGCCCGGTCTCCTCAGGCCCCCCCCGTCTCCTCAGGTCGCCCCGTCTCCTCAGGTCGCCCCCCCGTCTCCTCAGGTCGCCCCCCCGTCTCCTCAGGTCGCCCCGTCCCCTCAGGTCGCCCCCCCGTCCCCTCAGGCCCCCCGTCCCCTCAGGTCGCCCCCCGTCCCCTCAGGTCGCCCCCCGTCTCCTCAGGTCGCCCCGTCTCCTCAGGTCGCCCCGTCCCCTCAGGTCGCCCCGTCCCCTCAGGTCGCCCCCCCGTCCCCTCAGGTCGCCCCCCCCGTCTCCTCAGGTCGCCCCCGGCCCCCAAGTCCTCCGGGTCGCCCCGTCTCCTCAGGTCGCCCCCTCCGTCTCCTCAGGTCGCCCCGTCCCCTCAGGTCGCCCCCCCGTCCCCTCAGGTCGCCCCCCCCGTCTCCTCAGGTCGCCCCCCCGTCTCCTCAGGTCGCCCCCCCCGTCTCCTCAGGTCGCCCCGTCCCCTCAGGTCGCCCCCCCGTCTCCTCAGGTCGCCCCCCGTCTCCTCAGGTCGCCCCCTCCGTCTCCTCAGGTCGCCCCGTCTCCTCAGGTCGCCCCCCGTCTCCTCAGGTCGCCCCGTCTCCTCAGGTCGCCCCCCCGTCTCCTCAGGTCGCCCCCCCGTCTCCTCAGGTCGCCCCCCCCCGTCTCCTCAGGTCGCCCTCCGTCTCCTCAGGTCGCCCCGTCCCCTCAGGTCGCCCGCGGCCCGGCGCCCCGTTACCTGGACAGGGAGTCCGCGCTGGGCGGCCGCGCGGCGGCGGGCTGAGCGCCCAGACTCTCGCAGCTGGAGCTCCTGTCCATGACGGCGGGCCGAGCGGGAGGCGGACGAGGTCGGAGGCTGCCGCCGGAGGGCGGAGGGCGGCGGGCTCGGGCGGTGTCCGCGGTCAGGCGAGCGCCGGTCCGGGCTGGACGCAGGAAGCGGCCATGTTCTCCCAGCGCGCAGCGCGCTGACCCCGCCCTCAGACGTTGCCGGCGCGCTGACGTCATCGCGGACTCGCGCGGAAAAGGGAAGCGCGCGTGGCCACGAGGAGAACTTGCCGGGCTGAGAGGGAACCCGGAAGCCGAAGGGGGCCAAGAGGCGCCGGGGCGGAGCCGAGGGACTCCGCGGGCGGGGCTCCGGGCAGGGGGCGGGGCTCTGGAGGCGGGGCTCCGGGCAGGGGGCGGGGCTCCGCGAGCCGGGCTGTGCGCGCAGGGGGCGGGGCTCCGCGGGCCGGGCTGTGCGCGCAGGGGGCGGGGCTCCGCGGGCCGGGCTGTGCGCGCAGGGGGCGGGGCTCCGCGGGCCGGGCTGTGCGCGCAGGGGGCGGGGCTGTGCGCGCAGGGGGCGGGGCTCCGCAGGCCGTGCTCCCCGCGCAGGGGGCGGGGCTCCGCGGGCCGAGCTGTGCGCGCAGGGGGTGGGGCTCCGCGGGCCGGGCTGTGCGCGCAGGGGGCGGGGCTGTGCGCGCAGGGGGCGGGGCTCCGTGCGCTGGGGCCGGGGTGTGGGCCCGGGGCTCCGCGCGCAGAGGACGGGGTGTGGGCCCGGCCTCCTCCTGGGGTCGGGCGCCTCGGACCCACGAGGCTCCCGCGGTGGGCGGGAGGTGGGGGCAAGTCCGCGGCCCTCGTGGATACGAGTTCGAGTCCCCATGCGGGCCCGGGTCCTGGCCTGGGGTTCCGTGTGTAAAGCAGCTGTGCAGAGGGCGCGAAACTGCGCCCAAACACAGAGACAGTCATTAATACAGAGGATTGACCACTCATTAATACGGACCGGTCGTCTTCCGGCCGGCAGTTATGAGGTCACTGGAAGGAGCCCGGACCCCGGGGGCGGGGGCGGGGGCGGGGGCGGGGGCCCCGGCCGTGGAGCGTGCGCTCACCTGCGCCTCCGCGCACGTTCACAGCACACGCGTTGCACACGCGTGCCCGGGGAGGGACGGGCCATCCGCGCACGTACACAGCACACGCGTGCACACGCGTGCCCGGGGAGGGACGGGCCATCCGCGCACGTTCACAGCACACGCGTGCACATGCGTGCCCGGGCACGGTCCATCCACCCTGGCCTTGGTGAAGCAGCCGGGCCCGGCCCCTCGAGGCTCCGCCAGCGCTGGTTCTGAAGGAGTGCGGCCTGGGCAGCCGGCCGGGGCGGGAGGGGTCCCCTGCGGGGCGAAGGTTCCGGAAGGAAGGGGAGCCGAGCCCTGCTCCGGAAGCCCCGTGCCCTGCGGGCCTCCGCTTCCCGGGCCCGGCAGCTCGGATGAGGTCGGATCGCGGTTCAAAGCCAGCCCGGCGCGGAGGCCGCCAGACGCTTCCCTCCCGAGCCACCAGGAAACCGGACTCGCCCGGAGCGCAGGGCGGCGCCCGGGCCCCGAGTTCAGCCCCAGGACCTGCGGAAGAAGAGAGAAGTGAGCGGCGACTTGAGTCCCTGATGGCTGGAGCCCGCCGCCGCCCCGCCCCGACTCCGTCCCGCCGGGGGGCTCTCCTGTCCTCCAGCGCTTCGCACCTTCTCCTCCACGTGGGCCCCGGGTCAGGCCCCGGGGTCAGGCCCCTAGACACCTCGGAAGGAAGCTCGGGGAGCCCCGAGCCCCCCCACCAAGCCCTCTGCACCCCCCCCCCACCGAGCCCTCTGCACCCCCACACCGAGCCCTCTGCACCCCCACACCGAGCCCTCTGCACCCCCCACACTGAGCCCTCTCCACCCCACCACCGAGCCCTCTGCACCCCCCCCCACCGAGCCCTCTCCACCCCCCACACCGAGCCCTCTGCACCCCCCCCACCGAGCCCTCTCCACCCCACCCACCGAGCCCTCTCCACCCCCCACACTGAGCCCTCTGCACCCCCCACACCGAGCCCTCTCCACCCCCCACACCGAGCCCTCTCCACCCCCCACACCGAGCCCTCTCCACCCCACCCACCGAGCCCTCTCCACCCCACCCACCGAGCCCTCTCCACCCCCCACACCGAGCCCTCTCCACCCCCCACACCGAGCCCTCTCCACCCCACCCACCGAGCCCTCTCCACCCCACCCACCGAGCCCTCTCCACCCCCACACCGAGCCCTCTGCACCCCCCACAGAGCCCTCTGCACCCCCCCACAGAGCCCTCTGCACCCCCCACACCGAGCCCTCTCCACCCCCCACACCGAGCCCTCTCCACCCCACCACCGAGCCCTCTGCACCCCCCCCACCGAGCCCTCTCCACCCCCCACACTGAGCCCTCTCCACCCCACCACCGAGCCCTCTCCACCCCCCACACCGAGCCCTCTCCACCCCCCACACCGAGCCCTCTCCACCCCACCCACCGAGCCCTCTCCACCCCACCCACCGAGCCCTCTCCACCCCCACACCGAGCCCTCTGCACCCCCCACACTGAGCCCTCTGCACCCCCCCACCGAGCCCTCTCCACCCCCCACACTGAGCCCTCTGCACCCCCCCCACACTGAGGCCTTTCCACCCCCACACTGAGCCCTCTCCACCCCATCCCCCCCCAGACACTGAGCCCTCTCCATGAAATCTGAATTTTGTGAGGAGAGCCACGTTGGAGAAATGAGAACATTCTTCTAGGAGGGGAGATGTGTCTTACCATTGTTTGGAATCTTTGAAACAGAAGCAAATACACAGTTCACATCAGGGGTGAGTTAAATTTGGAGATCTGAACGATTCTCCATTTTTGAGGATTATCAGTTTTTCTCTACACCACCTACAAGGCTTATGTCACTACACAAGTGCAAATAACTATTTTGGAAAAGGAAAACTAGTCTAAAATAGTCCAATATTTCATGCCCAAGACATCTGTGCATACAACTGACATTCAGAACGCCCAGTATATGTTACTTTATAAGCCTCTGTATATTTAACTCCCCAACCCTACAACTATTGTGCTTAGAAAAAGAGAAACCTTTTTTTCAAATATTATCCACTACCTTTGAAATGCTAAAGCGAAGGCCTTTGAAATAAGTTCGGTTAAAAAAAAAAACCCTTGAATAATCCACGTCATTATAACCTTGTAACATTCAAACTCACTCAGTTATGCCCTTTACCAGCTGTACATCTTCATGTAACCTTTAATTTGTGTAATTTTAATAACTTTTGCAACTGCAGTATAATGTAGCAATGCTGCCTTCTCTATTACTGTATTTTCCGGATTAAATACAAGATGCAGAATATTTTTCTATAATAAAGTAATTTTCTGAATTGTATTGTCCAGATCTAATCCTTACAACACCATCCTCACTTTGGTTTTGTAAAACGAACAAAGACATCACTTTGATACACTCAGAACAGGATTAAGACATCCTCCAAACCTTCTGGCCATTCCAAAGCTGAAAAGGCCCTGCTAACGAAAGACCAGATGTCGAATAATCTTCTATTTTTTCAGTACATAACGAAAGACAGAATTATACAAAAGAAAACACACGTTGTATATAAAGGGACGATCTCTCCTGCCTCTCACTCCCACTACTCACGTACATTTAACTAATTCTATAGTGCTTTGAGATGGTACTGCTTTCAGGTTGCTATGTGAATGAGCAATGGGTAAGACAACATTGAAGTTATTTGGTGTTCTATTGATTCCGTAATGTTTAGTTTTATATTTTTCAGGAATAAATGTTAAGGCCTGCTACTTCTAAACACACGTAACATCTGTGCCATCCTACCCTTACCTCCTTGTAGTTCTCAAACAAATCTCTGTGCAACTTCAGCCCACTTGATCAGTGTTGGAGAGAGGAGATGTCCCCTTACATGATCTGAGTAGAACTGGTGGTTAATTTAAGAAATAAAAATAAAGAATAGACTTATTGAAATGTATATAAGCCTATGTTAATATAAATATTTTAAAGCATAGACATTTTAAGTTAAAACATGCAATTTGGGCTGGGGCCTAGCGTAAGTATAATAAGTGTTAACCTTGGATTCAAACTCAAAACATAGGATATATAAATAATTATATGTAAGATGTATAATTTGATGTTTTCTTTTTGGCTAACAGCTTATCAAGCACCAGAGTTCACAACTCCTGATATCAGGGTCCAGGCTGTTCTTTTTGGGTTTTGCTCAGAAGACTTTCATGCTTGGATGACATACATAATAGATGTTCTAATTTTTCTATTTTTGATCCTGTTAAAATGGAATGAAAACTTGAAAAACAATTTGAGTGCAAAATATTTCTAGTTGATTTTTGATTAGCTCAAATGCAGTCCCTCATCTATTTTTCTCATTGCTCATTTGATAGCCTTTAAGAATTATTACAAAATATAGCAAACAAAGCAAGGGTCAAGATATATTTATAAAGAATAATAATATAGCAAACATTAAAGTACACATAATCAGGCTAGGAAAAAACCATTACCAATACCTTAAAAAACTCATATTTTAAAAAATAAATCAGTCATATTTATGCATTTTTAATTTTTAAAATTATTTTAATTGATACATAAAGACACTGTCTTGGGAAAGTCATTCCTAGCTTCTAAAATGTGTCCTGAGAATTCTGCTCCCATGTGACTGAGGTGCAGCTGTGTTACTGGTGTCTCTGCTGTGGTCCCTTGGTGACCTTGGTCCACACGGCTGTGGCTGTGGCTGCTGGGTTCTCTCACAGCCAGGCACAGGCCAGGCCAGGCCAGGCCACACTGAAACACACCTGAGGGCTGCCATCTTCCCCAGCCCTGAGGACTGATCGGAGGCTGGGCCTGGGCTCAGAGCTAGCACCGCCCTCCCCACCCACCGCGAATGCGGCTCTAGAGCTAGCACCGCCCTCCCTACCCACCGCGAATGGGGCTCTAGAGCTAGCACCGCCCTCCCTACCCACCGCGAATGCGGCTCTAGAGCTAGCACCGCCCTCCCTACTCACCGCGAATGGGGCTCTAGAGTTAGACTGACCTGCACTACCCACCACTAATGGGGTTGTAGAGCTAGTACCGCCCTCCTACCCACTGTGAATGGGGTTCTAGAGCTAGACTGACCTGC